TCTTACCATGTTCTGGTGGTAAGTAATCAAGAGCAATGGCAATAGCTTACTTTTGGGACATCCTTGACCAGCAACTGGAAGGGAGGTATCCCATGCCTCTACAATTTTCTTTTAAAAAATTCATGTCTTCTGGAAACATTGTCTACCCATGCTGTTTGAGTTATGTTTTTAGAGTTGTATTTGGAAATTATTTTACTGACTAGTGATGTCAGGTTTTATTCATATATCCTTAGTTTTGGTCAACCTACCCACTGCCCTCTACTCTGCCTTATTCCCTATACCCCAGTCACCACAATGCTTTAACACACAATATCTCTCCTCCACTTTTCATTCCACATGTATTCTGATAGCCTTTCAGTTAACTATATTTGTCAAGTCGGGTTGTGAGATTGTAGGTTTCCAGATGGCGGCTCAGATCTGCTTTCTTTTGCTTTAGCACCTACTCCGTTCTATTTCCCGATTTTCTCCATATTCCCATACCCCCTTTTACTTAAGTTTTTTGCCCAAAGTATTACACCACTTTATTTATTATAATCTATTATTTCCTGTCCCCTAACTTGTTTCAACGAGCCAGTGTAAATTAAGACAGGTTTAAGGCCCTGTCTCAGAGGTCTAGGGAGATAACTCAGCTGTGAAAGCACCATGTGCTCTTCTATAAGATCCATGTTCAATTCTAGACACCCAAATGGAAGCTCAGGACCACCTGTAACTTCAGTCTCCGTGGGCTGCCCCCCCCCCCCATTCTGGCCTCCTTGGACTCTAGGCACACAGACATATATGCAGGTAAAACAACCAATGCACATAAAATAAATATAGAAAAATTAAAAAGATTCCCTCTCTCCCCAGTCAGAATGAGCATCATCAGGAATACAGATGGCAACTAATGCTGGCATGGATGTAGTGGTGGGGGAACATGGACATGATGCTGTCTGTGGTGTTATGCCACGCCAGCTTGATGGTAGTGCACACAAGCTTTATCCACCTAAGAGCTTGGACTCTGCATTCTTTATAGTGTAGTTGATGTCAGTACAGTATAGATTTTTTATTATGAATGTTATCTTCTACCTATGGTAAACTTGTTATGATTGTATTCACTAAATGTCTGCTTAACATTCTTCCAGTACCTGTGTATATTCTCTTATAATGTGAGATCACCATATTTCACTTATGTAAAGTTAGGAAGAAATTTATTTTTCATTGTTTTAGAGTTTGAAAACATGGAAATCATTACAAAGTCTGTGATGAGGTCCAAGTGAGAATTTTCATAGCAATAATTAGCAAATGGTGCTGAATGTCTTCAACAGTTGGAATAATTCATTTATAAATCCCCAAAGAAATAAATTAACACAGTATTTATTCATAATATTGTGCTATAGCAAATTGATGAGGATTAAGTCAACTTGCTTATAATTCTTTTTCTGGTAGAAAATTAAATAAATACAAATTATATTATGCTGAGTATATTATGTTTATTTACTGAGACTAAATATGAATCCTAATATAAGAAATTAAGAAATTCTGGTCATTCCCAGGAATATACTTAACTATTTATCTTGAATTATAAGTGTGTGACTATGGATCATGAAAAATGCTACCACATGAACTTGCATTGGAAAGATGCTCAGACCTTACATCAGTGTGGAAATAGCAGCCAATAATACCACACCTGCCATTAGGCATGGATCTAAAAGCTATCATCTCAGCAATCTAGGCTGAGACAGGAGCATCAAGAAAGTTCCAAGCTACCATGGTCTACATAGCAAAATCCTCTCAAAAAGAAAAAAAAAACATTTAAAAATAAAGAAAAGAAGAAACAAGCAAAGAAGCTTCAATAACAAAAAGTATATTATTTACTTCGAAGTATAAAATTCATTAAAATTATAGACTTATGCATTAAATATACTAAAAACAAGTGACAATCATTTATATTATATATTTTAATTTAACATAGATAAACATATAAAAATGAAAGTTTGAGAGTATTGTAAATGTAGTCTATTGTAATTTGTCTTTTTAGTTTACTGTTTTGTTTCCTAAGACTCTTCCACGATGTATGTGGCTATAATTCAGTTCCCATTTACTTTTCTGTTTTATTATTCATAATGTTCAGGCTGTCTCCATGTTCTTAATCTAATGACTAAGACTACCATAATTGGTACCTATCACTGCACATTCATACAAAAGCTTTTGTGGGAAATTAACCTAGGTGTGGAATGAGGATAAGGATTTAACTAGACAGCATAATTCTTCCAAACCTGTTGGACATTATTTGCAAACTTACATGTAGAATTCTTCCTTCTGTACACCTTTCCAAACTTGATATTACCAGGATTTTTATTTTTTGACAGACTAATGAGTAAAATACATTAACTCATTATGCATTAATTTTCATTTCTATGGTTATTAAATGGAGTGTGTACATTTTTTTTACTATAGGCAATTTATATTTTAGCTACTGTGAAATAACGTTTTATAAATTTTTGCCCATTTTAGTCTGAAATTGTTGATCTTTGAAATATAATTCCTCTGAGATTCATCCAAGCTGTTGTATGGCTCATTAATCTGTTCAGTTTTTATTGCTGAGTAGTTATCAATTTGCCTAAGTGAATTAAGTAAATTCACCAGTAAAATCACTTGGACCTTAATATATTTTTTGGGAGCACTGAACTTCCTAGTACAATTTCTTTAATAATTTTACGGTTTTATCAAAACGATTTCTTTTAGATGAGTTTTGGCTGTTTGTGTCATCTAAGTTGTTTATCTTACAGTCATAAAGTCCTTAATATCATCTTACTATTCTTCTAATGGTAGCAGGATCTGTTGTAATTTCCTTTGCTCTGTTCTTGCTTGTGATTTTAGTCTCCTCTCCTTGTTCATCTTATTACATAGGTGTTTATCAGCTTTCCTGATTCTTTTTAGAGAATTAGTATTTGATTCACTAAATTTTAATATTGTTTTCTTGTTTGCAATGTCATTATTTTCTGCTTTTATATTTATTCTATTATGGATTTATTTTAATTTTATTGTTCTCTTCTTTACTAGGATTTTTGGTTGAGGAAAGAACTCATATTATTGATTGATCTATTTTATAGTCTATAATAAGCAACAATTTGTTGTTCATTTTCTCAGTATTGTTTAGCTTAATCTCATGTTTCAGTGTGCAGTATTTGTATTTTCTATCAATTCTATGTGTTTTCCTTACAATTTCCTTTGAATTTTCTTTTTTCAACTCATAGATTATATTAACAGTGTCCTGCTTAAATCTGTAGAGATTTTCTCCCTTTTTGATTTATTTTTTTCCCATTTGTTGATCTTTACTTCTCCCAACCCAAGATCCTTTTCACCTCCCTACACACCCAAATTTATGTTCTTTCTGTCTCAATCTTTCAAAAAAAATTTCCAGAAAAACAGAAAATCAAAAAAAGGAAAAAAATAAGACACAAATGCTCAAAGAAAACAAAATGAAATAAAAATTCCATGGAAAAATCATGGAGTTCTTTTGTGTTGGCCAGGCCAAATTCTCTTAGCATGGGCCTGCCCTGGAGTATGGATGATGTAGCCAGTGACACTCCAGTGGTAAAAACTAATTTTCCCTTTGCCAGCAACTATCAGTTGCAGATAGCTTTCTGTTTAGAAGTGGGACCCTGTGTCCACTTCCTACTCTTAGTACTGTGACCCTCTTCTCATTTAAACCTGAGCAGGTCTTATCCATGTTGCCACAGGCTTTGTGAGTTCATATGTACATTACTCTTTTGTCTGGGAGACACTGTTTCCTGTTTCATCCATAACCTCTGGCGCTTACAGTCTAGACCAAAAAATTGCCCAACTACAAGTTTCACTCCTCCTAACTTTCATGGTGCTAGAAGGGACTCTTCCAGCTATAGGAGAAGGTTATCATCAATATTACCCAGCTACAGACCCCGGAATCTACAACAGTGAATCCTACACGATAAATGGGTGCAGTAGTGGCACAGATGTAGTGGAGGTAGCCAACCAACCATTCTCTGATTGGATTTAAGGACTACTCTGGGGAGTGAAACCTATACCTGACATTGTTAAAGTGGTCCAGAATCTGAGACTAGATAGTTCTTGCACATGGGAAAAATCTACTACTATTATTCTACTAAAGGAGCATAGCAATAAAATGAATCCTAATGACATACTGATATGTCCCCAGGTCAGTGCTTCACTCAGTCCTCCTCAGAAAAGCTTCTTTCTGAAGTAGATGATAATTAACATAAAGACTCACAGATGGAAACTGTGAAGTCATTAAGAGGCTGTAGATCAGTCAGTCCTTGATTACCCTGCCGGCCCCCAAGATTCATGGATTAATGTGAAAGACCAGGTAGAAAGATTTTATGTATTTTCTAACTATCTTGTGTTGAAGTTCTGGCAGGGGATTGCAGGTACTCATAAACTAATGACTAAAGAGATTTCCTGTTATTCCTGAAATCATCATCACGGGATGATGTATCAGATAAGCTTTTGACTAGATCAGATTCTTCAGATCCAATCAGGTTACAAGGACTGGATCTAATAGACAGCCACCACCAAGACTTCAAAAATGAACATTTTCTGGGGGTACTTTATATCCAAATTATACTACCACATGTATATATTTTTCTTTCTGGACTTTGCATTGGTGATTTTTTTTTTTACTTCTGTGGCAATAGTAAACTTTGTATTTATTACAGTATGTATAATATATACATTATATTTGTATACTATAATATAATAATATTGATATTCTATAACATAATTTTCTATATTTAATGTTTAGATATATCTCAACCTTTCAACCGTATTTTTCTTTTCCAGTAGATTTTAATCTACTCTTATGCATGTATTTTTCTATGTATAATTTGAAAATATTTTCCAAATTTTGTAAAGTGTTTCTTTCCTCATGATTTTTATAGAAAAAGTGTGTCTTTGATTTTATACTTTTGCTGTTGTACATCATCTTTTAAAAATTAATGACTTGTTTCTTTCTTGGCTTTAAGGCCTCCTTCAACAGAATCCAAGAGGGTGCTAATATGGTCAGTACAAGATCATCGCTCTGCCCAACTCCATGCCTCCATCAGCAGGAGTGGAGAGGGAACTCTCAAACTTGGAATAAGACCATGCCTCAGCAGGGTTCCATTTGCAAAAGACAGCAGAGTACAGGGATACCCAGAATAAAGCCATCAAGGTCATCTTGTCTCTATCAGCCAGAGTCAAATGGAAGATTCTGAGCAATACAACTTCTTTGGTTTTCCTCCCTCTGTCCTGTCTTTTATCAACACCTGTACCTTCTGCCTTGTTCTTTCTGGACTTCTGAAGGAGCACAAGGAGCTCATCATTGATTTTCAGAACTTTAATCTCATCATATCACCCTTCCTGACCAATTTCTCTTGTGAAACTGTTTGTACTTAACAGACTCAAGTTCAGTTTTCATGTTCTACTGTAGTGTTTCCTCTGTCCTGTGCCATGGGAAGCCTAGCTGCTCCAGTAATAATTGTGAGGCCTGTGGAGTTCTGGCAACTGTATAGCAGTCAGCTTTTTAATGAGAGGCATTGGGAGGGGATGATGTCATTAGACATACAGATCAGCATTTGAAACTACAATCTAATGTAATCGAATTTGAGTTGGAGACTGGTACTAACAATCAGTCCTGGGCCAGCTTCAGCACACATATCCAGCATACCATGACTTGATAGCACCATTAAGGGTGTTTATTTTCTCTATACTCAGCCAGTGCACTGGACCTTAACTTCCTTTTGCTACTTCCAGCCCTGGTCCTTCCCTGTTTCTTGACTATTCCTTTCCTTGCATCTCATTTTGATCAGATTGTCCCACTCATAATAATTGTTTATTACAGGCACATCTTTTCTAGTGGTATTTTTATAAATGGAAAGCAATGAATTCCTGAGACGTTGCCATTTTCTTTATGATTCCTGCCCAAGACTTCATGATTTCAATGTTTTCATGGATAATGCTTCCAACACTTTGGACTTTGAACTTCTTGACATTTGTCCCCTGTGACCACACTTCATCACTCTCAGTCATTCATCCTTACAGCCATTTCTTAGGCCTTGTTTGCTGCTCATAACTGACTCATAATTTTATTTACTGTTTGCACCTCACTCCTGATCCCTGCATGTAGGTCAGCATTCAGTTTTTATGTGTCGTCTGTTATTCTCTATGTGTGGCAGGCGTTTGAGGTCTACTGACACATTCAAGAGTTATTTTACATTACCTGGGATCATCTCTTCTCTGAGCTCTGATTTTAAGTACCCAACAGCCCACTCAACCTCTGACCAGATACTGATTTCCTGCTGCAGTTGCCTTCATTTACTTTTCCACATTTGTTAATAGAAATGCCACCCTTCCCACTCTTTAGCCAGAACCCCTATGCACTTATTTTGATCCTGAGGTGTCTGTCTGTCTCCCCTCACTTTTGATATGAAATTAATTATTTTTTTATGTTCTTGAAAATCATCTTTCTTTTCATAACACCAGCACTGTTTCCCTTCCTAACTCCTCCCCTTTTCCAGCCCTTGCTGTAGCTCTTGCTTGTGTGTACCTGTCCTTCCTCTGTAACTGAGATTATTGTAGAAACCTAACTGCTCTCTGCTTTTGTCCTTATTTTCCAATTAATGCAGTAGCTAGAGCCATCATTGTAAAGGTGTCAACCCATAACATTTCTTTGCTGAAATCTTTTCAGTGGCCCCTTATATTAATCATATAACAGGGAATTCCAGACACCAGGACTTGTGAGGCTCTCTGCATTCCCACCTGTTTGCCTCTTTTTCATTTTCTCCTACTATATATTGCATCCCCAGACTAGCCTTCCATGAGTTTCTAGAACACTGTAGACATGCTCCTGTCTTGTGACATTTGCATTTAAGGCTTTCTCTGTTTGTGTTGTTCATTGGGATATCTTAATGTCTCATGCCATTATCTCCAGTTAACCCAATTTCCTTTAATCTTTTCTGTAACTATACTATCTAAATTATATTTGACTATTGTTTATTTTTAAGGCAGGGTCTCATTATGGTGTAGCTCTGCCTAGTCCTCCCCATGAAATCACCCTTCCTTAGCCTCCTCAGTACTAAGATCCCAGTCTAAATTGTAATGCGCGTGCTTATTTCTTGATACTTCTTGTACCTCTTTCCTACCTTATTCTCATGTTTTTATATGATATGCTGTGCCGATCAACTTGATCATTGGGCCTCTTGTCACTAAATATCAGCTCCATAAAAATAAGAAAGTTCCGCTTTTTATTCAGTCCTGTGATGTTTGCAGTCCCACATCTGTAAAATAGATGTCATAGTTTTGCACATCTGCATGAGTTCTGCATTTTACTGCATGAGTTAAAGTGTTTTCTAAGATTGTTATGTAAAACATATTTGCTTAAGAAAAATTAATCTGAAATGTTACCTTTTAAACTTTTTTTTCATATGGTTTGTAGTTTGGTGGAACTTCCCTAGTAGATATTGCGATTTTCCTCATCTATAACTGGGAATTTTTGTTTTACTTATGATTGCATATTGCTTAGAATCTCAAAAAAGTTGTTATATATGTGAACAGGCATTCTCACCATGTTTATGTAAAAAGAAATGTATGTGATGTTGTAACACAAGGAATATTTGCTTTGGTAGATAGAATTTATTAAGTTTGTGTTTCATCACGAATGTCTAACTTTTAATAATGTATTAGTGGAAATTTGTAAATCATGTTTAAGTGTTAAAAATTTATTTTATCATGAATATTGTGTCTCAACTCACATCTAAATAAAGAAATACTATTTCTTTCTTTTTATTTACAAGTGAGTTGAGATTCCTCAATGTATTTTAGAGTATTCAGAGTCCATACTTGTTTATTTCTTTATGGAGTCGTGTGGGGGAGTATGTTTCAGGACAGCTAAGGCTGGCTATACCCATAAGAAAATAAACAACACAGGTATTTTATAAAAGGAAAACTCCAGAGACTGCAGAAAAGGCTTAGTGGGTAAAGTGCTTGCAAAGAGTGCATGAGTTTGGATGTTCAACCCCCCACAGAACAGTAGTTTATGATAATATTTAACATAAATGTTTAGAATTTTTATTTTGTCAAATTCATCATTTTCATTTCACTGATTTTTAAAAATATTTTCATAAAGCATTCTCATTCTAGTTTACTGAGTGATTGCCAAATTTTTCTTGGAGAATTTTTGTGATTTCATATATTACATTTACATCTTTATCTTAAACTTATTTTGTTATAATTGATAAAAATGTTACAGTCCATTTATTTTCTCCAATGGATAAGAAATTGTTCATTTTTCCAGTATATACAGATCTGAGAAAACATATAACGAATGCAGAGGAAACATACTCCCTAATTTCCAACAGTGTATTATCAGCTTTAACCAGTTACAGTTATGATGGTATCTCTTCCCTGATAGCCACTTTAAAAGGTCATAACCTATAGGAGCTTTAGTAGTTTGGTTCTTACTTAAAGAACCAAGGTATGTATATGAAGACAGTTCAGTACTGATTTTGAAATGAATGCCACTGGATATTTGAAAGGACAGGGCTCCTGTGTAATCTTGGATTAACTCTGTGGATAGTTCCCATGAGGTACCAGCTCTACTGATCATAATGGATCATTATCTGCTTTATAATAATTTATTTGGGAAAGCTTGTTTTCTAGAAAATGGTTATCATTAAAATAGGCAGAGTAAATTTAATTGTACTCTGTGGATGCTAATTTAATCTAAGAAATCGTGCATCTTGCATTCTAGATGGAAATGATGAGGGAAATAGAACTGAGTAGAACAAAAAACCTTGTGTCCTATGTGGTTAAGATATCATCAGAAGCTCTAATGGGGAAATAAAAGAGAAGAATTTAATGATAATGACTATTATTATTTTGTCTTATTTGAGCATCTTCATTCATATAGAGCTCAATATAATTTAATTTAATATTTATTACATCTAAAAAGACAAAAATAATTATTTTACATTATGCCAGTTGCTCAGTTAACAAGTCTGAATTTACTTGACTGTATAAAATAATCTATTTTAATGTCCTTCATCAAATGGCATAGAACTAAATGTGTGTTTGGAGTAACCTCTAAGGTATGTGGAGACTCTCTTTGCCAGCTCTGTATTATCCGACAAGAACTTAGCTGTGTTTGTGTAATAAGGCAATTCCTCGTGAGGCTTCTTTCACCAATATCCTTTTCCCTATTGCATTCTGTATGTCTTTAATTTCTATGTAGTAATTAATTAAGATGGATAAGAACTAGATGACTCCATTCTCAAGTTTGCAGCCAGTTACAAATCAAAGTACTTGGGACTTAGAGTCAGAACCCCAAGGTTTAGCCCAAGTGAAACTCCTTATTAGCAGCTTAAGGCTAAGCGATGCCTGTGTGTTCATTTTCTGCACTCCCTTTCTTCACTGAGGAGGAGTATATAAGTAGGATCAAGGTTATTAGACATCGTTTCTAGGGCTTTTCAATTGAGGTAGTGAGTAGAAAGTCTACTGTTTCTGGAAGTATTGAGGAAAGTGTGGATAACACAACAGCTCAGTGGTGCTTTATCTAAAACCAGTTAAATTTATTTGCTTTTCCTATGAAAGCAATGGAGATCTTGGATACTGAGAATAATGCCAGTTGTTCCATATCAAGTGTACATAATGATGCAAGGGAAGTTTCTTTGAATGATTACACTTTTGGATTGTTACACTCTCCAGTGCTTAAAATACACTTTAATGTCCCACCTTTTCAAGTAGGTCATTGGTTAAGGAACAGAAATATTAATTTTCTTACTTCCTGACTCTCACACACTATAAGGTATATATTCAGTAAATCTCGGTAGGATGATTCCATAAACTGGTTTTCACTTTAAAAATATGTGGTTTGTGGGGATAGAGAAATGGCTTAGTGGGTAAGAGAACTTGTTGTTCTTGTAGAGGACACAGGTTCAATTGCCCACATCCATGTGGTGGCTCACAGCTGTTCATTATTGCAATTCCAGGGCATCTGAAGCCTTTCCTGACTTCAGACACCAAACACACACGTGATGCACAGACATTCACGCAAGCAAAAACACTCATACACATAAAATAAATAAAAACATGTAGCTTATTAATTGCAAATATTTGTATGGGCTGTTGTCATTTATTTCAACTACTGTTTAATTCTTTTTAAATATCACTAAGTTTCTTATTAATCATGAATAATAGCACATATGGATTAAAAAGTTTA